TAGTATGTCTAACCCGTGACATCCAAACGCGTAATATAGCGTCCATTCCCTTTTCCCTGTGTTGTGTGACAATAAACATTACGTATGCGAAAACCATGTGATGGAGTTAACCCCTCCGCCATCTTGGATTCTTTTGTTCCCACTGTTTTGAAAAAACCGTTATTTTTTTTAAATGAGATGCGAAAAATCCCTACACTCGAACCAACGTGAAATCTAACCCTAGCCTCCCCAACAACCCTAACCCCAACAACCCTAAACCCCAACAACCCTAATCCCCTCGTGCACCTACGCTGCATGAATAAACCCTAAAACCCCCCTCGCGCACCTACGTCGTATGAATATTTCATTAGAACCCACTCGGCCGAATCACTCGGACCCAGACCGCGCGGAAGTTGCCATAAACCTATGATTCCAACGTGGGAGAACAATCTACTTTCCATCAATTGTACAGAGACATGATGACAGCTTGTCAATCAATACTCGAGTGACATTTACGTTCAAACACATTTATGTATAACTTCATCTTACATTCTACAAACACTTCATACACCATGTCATCTGAAAAACAACTGTTTGGACGAAGATATTGAACAGAATCCCCAGTGGGCCGGAGCCGTCCTAGACGAATTATTTGCCATTGTAAAAGAAAAAGCTACCACGCAAGATCTTTGTGGAATACGCAGACAAGTGACAAGATACATTGACGAGATTGAAACCTATAATTCAAACGTGGAAGAACATTCTACTTTCCATCAATTATACAGAGATATGATGACAGCTTTTCTAGCTTATTTCACCTAAATACAACTCAAATATCGTGCTGTGTGACAAATAAATCATATGCAAATGTTGTACTTAATTCCTCCGCCATCTTGGATTCTTCCGTTCCCATTGTGCCGTTACTTTTTAAAAACTCTACACACAAACCTACGCGAAATTTAACCCTAACCCCTCCTACAACCCTAAAACCCTAACTCCAAAACCCTAAACCCTAAAAACACCACGTACACCTACGCTATATGAATAAACCCTAAAAACCCCTCGCGCCCCTACGCGGTATGAATAACTAATTAGATCTTACTCGAACGAGACACTCGGACCCAGACCTCTACGGAATTGCCAGTCAGGCGCCCTAGACTACTTCCAACAGCAGAGCTCTCAAGTCGTTTTGTTGGCAACGAGTGAGATTTTTTCGACCGCAAAGTCGTCGATTATGACGTCGCGAGCACCACCTTCATGGGAGGTTAGTGCATGCTCCACGGGATTATTGTTAAAAAACGAAGTAGCTGAGACGTGTGGTCTTTTATTCTAAGTTCGTCCCACTGTACTTGTCTGCGATCAGCAAGTGATCGTGTTCGTGTGTAAAATCCATGGAAGTGCATGAAAAAATTTGCTCTTGAAAAAAAGTGCAAAACTGAATTCAGTTGCTTTGACAAAGTGAAATTTTTTCGAACCTGATAACTAGGTCACTGAAAGCCCTAGATTGGCGACTGCCACTAACAATTTTAGTCATATCCAGGTATATAGTGCACTTAAATAACATGCCAAATACTGTCGAGCTTTACCAGAAGTATTCTTTGACATGTATTTCTCTGGCATTGATCAGCAAACGATCATTTATCTTTATTAAACGGTAAACGAGGTATTTTGACCAGTTTGAAATTTGCAAATACTGTTCTTATTCGGTATTTTCAATTGGCGTATCTACTTCACTCAATAGATCCTGGCTCCGCTGGTTGAGTGCATTTGCAGACTAACAGCAAAACTACCAATTCCAAAACTCCAAGCTCAAGTCATGCTATCCAGTGACGGAATTTACCTCGCAATTGGTATCCATAACTTGTTAAGCATCTGTAAAACCTTATACACAACCGTGAGCAACCCTACGGTTTTTGAGACCAGATAAAATTGCACGACCTACTGCCTCTTGAGTTCCGAAAGCAGCGCAAGGGCAACACACTTCTTGGAAGGGGGAAGTGGATTTGATAGCCTCTGCTGGGCCACAAACTGGGTTTACAAAAATAACGCCTTGCGCACAAAGTCCTCTAAGAGAAATTGAATTGGTACGGATGGATGTTGTTACCATTAGCTAGGGAGTTCACGCACCCTTCGTGTTAGTTCTGAATGAAATATTTGATATCACTAGACCACGAGACAAAAACTTGCAATAACTATGTGTGACAGAGTCACTTAGGCTTATTTCCTACTTAAAACATGTTTGTTCTGTTTATTTTATTTTATGGAATTTTAGCGATTTGTCAGTAATGTTAGTAATGTGTTAATTGTGTTAGTAATGTGTTAACTGTATTATTCCTTTAATTGCCGATTTCCCTTATGTAATTCCTGTTTAATTGCCGATTTCCCTTAGGTAATTCCTGTTTAATTAATCGCTCCTAGCCCAAATTTGGTTTTAAGTTATTTTTACCTTTTCCTGTATTTTACTATAAGTTACAACTGTTTGCTCGGTGAGTTCAGTTGATTTGTTGCCTTCCTGAGAGTGTCTTTAAAGCGGATTCTAAGCTATACTAGCTTTTGGTATGTTTCAGTATTTTATGTTTGTTTGAGCCCTAAGCTTAGCATGTAGTTGTTTCCATTGTATTTTTGTAGTGATTTTCGGGTTAGAATTTGCTTAGTTTAGCCACATACTCTTTTTATCTTACTACTGTATCTTATTTATTTTCTCTGCTATATGAACTTCAATTGTTTTCGTTTAGCAGCTGTAATATTTTGCTTACCTGCTTCCAATTCATTGTTGCTATGATTCCTGTGTTTTCAGAACCAAATTATGGGTTCATTACACTAGTAATTTCATTTTCTCCTTTCACTGTTTTATACTGTATTAGCTCAAGTTGTAATATTAAGCCTAGCTTGTAATCTTTGTTGAATTCATGCCTGGTGTAGCAATCACTATTTTTGATAGTTTCTGTCACACAATTTCCTGTTTTCAAGTACTTTGTTTGTTTCCTTTCTTTACTGAATTATTTCTGTCTGTAGGTTATCTTTTACTGTTAAGTACTTTTTCCTAAGTCATTTTAATCTTGCTACATCATTTGGCTCATTGGAACTTTGTTTTCTTATTTATTGTTTAGTGTCACTCGTTCCCGTTTTTTTTATTGTACCGTTGCATTTATTTGCTGTGTAATAAACTTGTAAATCTTCCCTCGGATCTTTTGTTCTTACGTCGACCGTTTTGGCCGTCTTACACTTGTATCATAATAATATTTTTGACTGATACCATCATTAAATTTGGCAACAGCTGGTATTGTTTGTAAAATATTTTTCGTCTTTTCCAATAAACTTGCGTGTCACTTCCTGTCTCGATTAGGCTCTTCTACATGCGGGTGGAAGCCAACATGAAATTATAATTTGTAATTAATGAATAAAATTTTTTTTTATTTGTTTTGTTTTGTTTTGTTTGACTACAACTGTACGAATTTAAGATAGTTGTATTATTATTATTAGTGTTTTTATTATGCAAACCCACAACGAGTAAAACACAAAGCAAGGTTCAG